GCCAAGCTAATGCTAAAAAAAAAAAACCCTGTTGATTCTCTATTTTCTCCAACAAATACCTTTTTGTATGCAATTTCAAAGAGGTTTAATGATGCTTGCTGTAGAGATGATGAGGCTTGTCGTATGCTCTCTCCAGTTTCTTGGTCTTTTCTAGCCAAAAGTTCTTTCATCTTGTTGATCTCCTCTTTAAGCTTGTTGCACTGAGAGAGAACATAAAGGGAAACATTTTATATACACAATACAGCTGTGGGGTTTCCCAGCCCCTTATAAACCAGTTTTATATAGTGTAACATTTACAATGAAAACTTGGGGGGGGACACTTGTGAAATGTTTATGAAACCTATAATTTTCAGTAAAAAAAAAAAGACCCACAGCTTTATTTTTGTGTACAGAAATGCAATATTGTCTAATTGTTTTATTTTAATGAAAGGGGATTGTGTCAAGTGACAACATAAGACTGTTTTAGACTGGTGTCTAGTCACACAAGATCTTAAGTGCTAATCGCAAGCAGAGAAAACAAAAATCGACCCACAGTAATATGACCAACCAATTCACTAGGGATGGCAGCCCTCCACAAGGAGTACGGGACTTCCTCCACAGATCATGTCAAAAACAAAAGCCTTTCCTTCCTGTGATATTACACAAAAAATAAACTTTTATTGTATAAAAACATATATATACACACTCTTTGCCTGCGTTCGTTACGAGCCTGCATTACGGAACGCAGGCAAGTTTTGCACGTGTCAGATTGCACTGCGGGGGAGGGGCGCCGCATGGAAGCGGTGCCATTGAATTGGAGCGAAGACAAGTTGCTAGATAGGCCATAACTGCCTATGTCGGGCAATGTGTCGGCCGCGTCATAGGATGTCATGGCAACGACGGGACGCTGGCTAGCGGAGGACGGCAATTAAATGAGCTGCACGCAGATACCGCCAGAATGAGACAGTGTATTCATGGAGAGGCATGTGCATGAAATACTGACAAATTAAAGAGCTGGGTAACAATGCAAAAAAATCACAATGGGCTACCTGAATAAAAGCGAAAGAAAAAATGCTAGAATAAGAACCCACATGTTGCTCATAGTGTGGCATTATTAGCATAGCTGTATTGGCAATGAGCCAGCTAATAGGTATATATATCGAGCATACAGTAAAGGCAATGTTGTGGGGCCATGACAATGTGATACATTACTAAAATTATAAACGCATGAGGGCCCAGGTAGCATGGTGTGGTCCGAATGAAACACATAGGCACCACTAGGGTTGTAGATTTTATGTGGGCCAACTGATGGATATGTACCAGGCTTGTAATGCATAAGGGTGACGAATGTCGGGCCAAAAGCACTACGTTCTAATGCTAAGAATCCAAACGCATGTGGACCTATGTGGTATAGTCAAAGTGAGAAGTGTAAGAGCCACTGTTATAGGAATATGGGCAGCTGTAAGATATTCATTTAGCTAAAATGCAAAAAGTTGATGTGAGAGCATGACTGCATGATATCACAGTGTGGGCCACGTGAGGATGTGAGAACCACTAGTTATCATAGAAATAGATGTAAGAGGGTCAAGAAAAAAAAAAAAGTGTCCACCTATGTCATGGGGAAATCAGTAAATGTCAGCTTGGTGCCACTAGGCCAGGATTTGAACTAAGGTAAAACATCCAAAGATGGTTAAAGAGACGGCCTGGCGGAAAGGAGTCATGAGGAATGCGAGAAGTGATTTAAAATCCCCGGCTGTGGATAAACCACCCCTAGGGAAGTAGCGGTCAAAAAAAGAAACCATGGAGAAAAGCATGTGGTCTAGGTCGAGTTACCGGTCAGGGAGGAAGCATGCAAGGGTGAGGCTAGTATTGAGACCCCTGGGTATCAGTGTCCAAAGTATAGATCCAAAATGCTTCCAGTTGGAGAAGGGATCTGTCATGATTCCCACCTCGGTGGGACAAAGCGACATGTTCGATCACCATCCCCCGTAATTCATGGGTCTGGTGTCGTAGGTTAGCAACGTGAACCGCTTCTGGTTTGTTAGAATACGGGGTATCACCCTTGGCGGAGGCATTAATGGCAGACCTGATGTCGCTACATGTTTTTGAAAGAGTCTTTTGAATGGTCCCATTGTCTTACCCACGTATCCAAGGCCACTTCAAAAGATAAACGCAGGTCTCTGTAATGCAGTTAAGGTAGCCCTTAATCTGGAATCTTTTCCCACTATGTGGGTGAGAATGCCTCGGCTATGATAAGCGCACTGCACACATTGCAGTAAAAACATTTGTAGCAACCTGTTCGTCGTGAAATTTGGAATGGTTGTTTACAGTACTTAGGCCAGGGGTCTGCCTGGACCAAGTGGTCCTTCAGGGTTTTACTGCATCTATAAACCTGCAGTGGTGCTGTCTTTATTTGTGCAGTCAATTGTTTGTCTGCTTGGAAGATTTTCAAGTTCTTAATTGTGGCTCTAGGGATTAGACGTGACACCCCATTAAATCTCTGGATAAAGGGCAGTCTGGATAAAGGGCAGTCTGTTACTAGAGGACTTGTCTATCCCTGTAGTCGAAGACAGTTTGTCTATTGCCAGCTCAAGTGCGTGGTCCAATACAGAAATAGGGTACTCTCTTTGTTGAAACTTGGAGTACATCGCCTTGATTTGTATGTCACATGCGTCTGGATCAGAGCAAATGCGGAAGACACACAAACTGTGATATGGGTAAATTGCTAAGTAGATGTTTACAATGCAAACTGACATAATGCAGTATAGTATTGTGGTCTGTAGGTTTACTGAACAACGTAGTTTGAAGGAGACCATCAACAATATTGACTTGGACATCTAAGAATATAATGCAGGTGTTGTGAAATTCAGGGATAAAAGACAATGCCGGGAAAAATGGAGTTAAGGAACCCTACAAAACATCCCGAAAGTGTTGGCCTCACCCTGGCAAATGACAAATGTCATCTAGGTACCTGGTCCAAAATTTGACGTGCGTTTGAAACATGCATGATGGATATATGTGAATCGCTTCTAGGTATCCCATGAACAGGTTTGCAAAAGTTGGTGCCGCGGAGCCGCCCATGGCAGTTCCTTTAATCTGTAAATAGAGTGTATTCTCAAAAAGAGAAAGAAATTAAATCACAAGTACATATCTTAAGCGAGACAAAATAAATTCTGTAGGCATGGTGTCATGTCTGTGTGACCTCAGAAAATGAGCCACTGCTTCAAGACCGGAGTCAATGGTGATACATGTCTAGAGGTACAAAATGTCCATGGTGGCCAAGTGCCAATCGCTAAGTACATCTTCAAACTGCAACACCTTGTCAAGAAAGTCACTCATGTCCCTGGTGTATGAAGGTAGTTTTACTAGTGGTTAAAGAACATATCCATCCATCCATATACATCAGTTGGCCCACATACATCTACAGCCCTAGTGGTGTCTATGTTTTTCATTCGGACCACACCATGCTACATGGGCCCTCATGTGTTTATAATTTTAGTAATGTATCACAGTGTCATGGCCCCACAACATTGCCTTTCTTTATTGTATGCTCGATATCTACCTATTAGCTGGCTCATTGCCAATACAGGTATGCCAATAATGCCACACTACCAGCAACATATGGGTTCTTGTTCTAGCATTTTTTTCTTTTGCTTTTAATCAGATAGCCCATTTGCGTCTTTACCCAGCTCTTTAATCATGGTCAGTATTTCCATGTACTGCAGTTCTCTCACGGAGGAGTTGAATAAATCCAGGAAAGTCTATGAGAATGATTATAGGGAGAACATTATATGAATCAAAAGGCACTACAAAAAAAAGGTACATAGAGGATAATATAACTAAATAAATGAGATCATGTTATAACTAAATAAATGAGATCATGTTGTCTCTTAAACATCTCAACGCAACATAAATGAGGTTCAGTAGAATAAAGTCTTGAAAACTGTTTTTGTGATGCTAGGTCTGATGCTAGGTCTGAGAACAGAAAAAGATTCCCTTAGAAATTGCGTCATCGGAGAAGATCCACATCCTTCCATCCTGGATATGGCACAATAAGTCTGAGATCACTGGTGTTACACATCTCTTAAGTATGTAATATACAAACAAAAATCGGCAACACAAAAGGGGTAAGAAGGTATGCAGATAAAGCAGTCTTCGAGAGATCTATAAAATCTGTAGTCTGTTCAAACTTAAAATAATAATTAGAAAAAGAAAAATGTAGAAGTAACCAAGCTCCATCAAAGCTCCAGCGACTACATACATAGTTCTCAAAGTAGTCTCCGCCTTCTTATCCGTGGGGTAATGGAAAGAGAAATCCTCCACAAGAATGAACGTAGCCTTGTTTAGGCATGACGCAGGCAGATCCACCACCAGAGACAACGAACACTTTTTCAGGAAATCAATTAATAAAAGGGATAGTGAATGGAAAAACGTTTCGGCACCAAGAAAGACGTGGCGGAAGGTTTCTTGGTGGGAGCGTCCTCATTCTTCAAAGTCTTCCGAATAAAGCAGGGCAGAAACCAATTCTCGTTCCTGGAGCATGAGGGAGGCAGATGACACATCCTCGCTACCGACGCCTTTAGTGAGGAATTCCCCAGAAGTGACTCGATTCACCGCCATGGAGACCTCTTCCTCCATATTCCACTAAAGGGGTTGGAGAGGACCAAGGCATCAGACGTTTTTTAGGAAGTCCCTGCGCCAAAGCGCATTCAATCCATGACGCAAACCTGTCCATAGTGGATGAGAAGGCCTCAAAGGATAAAGTCATACATGCAACACTCGCAACCCCCAGAGAAGGTCAGGTCCCGTCGGCGGCATTGGTGGCCGTGTACTGCTTGCACATAAAAAGGGGAGTGGGAAGCATCCTTAGACCTTGTCCTCGCGTTCCACGAACAAAACTGCCCGGCAGAACAGAACACCTGTACACACGGAAACTGCAGCAAGCCGGGAGGAGCCAGAAGTCCCTCACACAGCAGAATGGCATAGTCCCAGCAGTAGTCATATAGGAAAGATTCCATCCCCCTTCCGCACACTGAAAGTGAAACCCCGTCCCTCAGCACGTGGGAGAAGTGCCGCTGCAACCAACGAGGATGTCTGCCCAAATCAAAGATGGCAGCTGAGCCCCGCCTAGGCCACAAGCCAGGGACTAAATTTGTGGCCGCCGGCCACACAAAATAAAAGCCATTCTGCCCAAAAGGTGTGACCACAGTGCAAATGGATG